CCCGCCTCAAACAGCCCCGCTGCTGACACGTCCCCCCGTGGGGAGGCCCCGGGTGGGGCTGCCGGCTTGTAGGCTGGAGCGCTTGGAAGTGCTGGAAAAGGAGCCCCCGCAGGGAGCCGGGAGCAGCGAGGGGCTTTGGGGAGGGCTCGTGAATAAACTGGGTTTGTAAGGAGTGCCGGTGTGGTGTTTGGGTTCACCGCCCTGAGAAATAAGGGAAATAACAAATAACGCGCAAAGAGTTTGCGCTGTGGCTTCGTTGCTGTAACGTGTTTCTACAAAAACCTGAGAACGAAACCAGCTCGTTCCCAGTTGTTGCCCCCCGCCCTTTAAAGCCTTTCGCCTTTATTCGGCATATTTTTAAAACCTTTAAAGTTATGAAATGCTCATAAAATCCTCCTTGCTATGGTTAAAAATACATAAGCGCGTGAGCTGTGGCTGTGACCCCGGAGCCGTCAGGTGCTGCGTGGTGCGGTTCCACCTAATGTTTACCCACCAAATAGTTCAGATACCTTTTGTGACGGTCACACCTGCTGCTTCGGCCCTGCCGCAGGGCCCCGGAAAACGGGGAAGGGTTCGGGGGGAGAATCCACACGGCGCTGACCTCCCCTTCAGGACAACATCCTAATGTTACTTAAAAAGAGGAAGCCCGTCCGCCACAGGGTGCACTTTATTAGGAATGATATAAAATGTTCTAAGCAGTCTCCCTGGTATTTTGATAGTAACAACAGCAACACAGAAAATAATTCGTAGGTTGTTTATGAAGAGCAAGAGGAATGTTTTAAGAGGGAAACTGAAACCTAATAATTTGGGGTTGTTGCTGTCTAGTGTGGACTGTTTCTGTTTTCGACTGTATCTTGTCGCTCTGCACTTCTCCACTCTTTGGTTTCTGCCTTTGCTCAATGAGGCGTCTTAGCAAAATAAACAGTAGTCGCTAAAGCCATGAGGGCAAAAATTAAATCTGTTCAGAATTCGTGAGGATACGTGACCTGGTTTTACCGAGTTCCAGTGAAACTCCTCCTCTTCCTGCTTTTTCTGGAATGCGGTAGTTTGAAACGTGTCTTGGGGGTTGTGTTGTGCGTCTTCACGTGTAGGATCGGGAAAAAATGTTAGTTTTACAGGAGGAGGTTTTGACCACAGCTCATTTCTGATCGTTGGATTTAGATAGTGGATTTGCCTTAGCATTAAGCATGTTCAAACACCTCGTATCGTTAGAATCAGCACTAAAGGCTGTCTTTGTTTGAGGTTAATTTCAATCTGCCATTAAAAAATAGATATATGATTGGGGAAAAAAAAGTTAATAGTTAAATTTTAGGTTAATTACAGCATATCTAAGTGTTAATCTGCAAGTGGCTGTTGAGGGGTTATTTTACGGGCAGTATTGTTCCATACCAAAGGTTGGGTCATAACGCTTGTAATATTTGGTGAGTCAGAGGTTTGTCCTGGGATTCGGTTCTGGGAGACGTTTATGGGGCCTGGCCGGTGTCCCCGCCGGGTGCTGCCGCTGTGGCCTGGGAAAACGCTCTGGAGCGGCTACCTGCGAGTTGTTATTTCTGAGCCTTTGGGAAGGCATCTCATTAATAAGCAAAGTTCTGATTATTCTACCAGAAATCGCTTTCATTATCATGAACAAGGTGTTTTGTGCTGTTTAGCCAATGCCACAGATGCAGTGACGTCCCCTAGGAAGCAGAGGAGGACAATGAGGTGCTGCTAAAATGCTCACAGTAATCACAAACGGCTTCATTTAAACCCAGAAACCACTAGGCTGGTTTTACTTAATTCCTCCTTCTGTTGGTGGGAACGATTCCTGCTAACCTTATGATACAGGGAAGAAAAGTCTTCCCATCTGCCTCTCTTAAAGTTAGGTATCTTTTATTTTGTATCCTTCTACAACTATTCTTCTGATATATTTCTATTCTTAAATATGAAAGTCTTTAAAGTAGGATCGGTTTTACTAATCATTAATGAGGGGGGGAAAAATACTGAACTTAATCACTAAAGTTATGTAAGTGTCAGAGAATACAAATGTGCAGTCAGAGTTTGAATAGTTGGTTATGGAGCGCTGGATTGCACAATTCTAGAGAACAAAATAACTTCAGGTTTATCATAAAATTCTACTGTAAACTGTTATAAATTTTTATATGTATATAACTAGACTTTTTGTATAATCTACTTCCAAAATGTATATCAAATCATAAATATATATATACAAATGTCAATAAATCTCTGAGAGCATGAGTAATAATTATGAAAAAAAACAGTTCTAAGTGAGAATTAGCCAGGAGCCCTAGGGCAGGGCAGCAGTCTTGGGGCCAGCAATGGGTGATAGTTCTGTTTGGGTAAAGGGGCCTTAAATTGTTTTCCTTCTGCAAATACAAACACAAACGGGCTTTTCTCTAGCAGATGCAGTGTCCAACCTCCTGGTTTTGTTCCAGTTTGTTTGGTTCTGTAGAGGCACAGAGAGGCTCTGAGGAGTGCTGATAGTACCAGTTTTCATCATCCTGTTTCCTCAGGAAATAGAGAAGAATCGAGATGGGATTGAACTGCAGTATTAATGGTTCTGTTCTACTTCCCTGTTCTGGAAATAGCTCCTCTGTGAAGCAGGAAGGATGGCCGTGCTTGTGGGTTCAACAGCATGTTTTAAACTCTTTTACTTTAATTACTTTGGCTCCTGTTAATACTCTATGTAGAAAGGGCATCTACATGCATGGAGCAAAATGAATTGCTTCCTTTTCGAATAGTATTAATTCTACATTATGAGAGAGATGGAAATAACATTTTAGGATCTGAAGCTGATGCTGTGGTCAAGTGGAAGCTAAGGAGAATAGTATTAGTGCATTCAGTGGTGACCCTGTGCTTGAATTTTGTTACCTGTGATTCTGATTCTGATTTTTAAAAGTTTGAGGATTTGATGTGAAATCAAGAACATGCACGACAGGGATTCTCACTGAAACACCCACGATTACCTGCATCTCTTTCCAAATCTGTAATTG